CAGGTACAGTGCGATTGAAACTTCGTGGCCCATGCGCAGAAGTCGGTATTTTGTGGAAGAGCCACACTCAAGGGGCCAAAGAGCCGCATGTGGCTCGCGAGTCGCAGTTTGCCGACCACTGCTCTAGAGGATTGACTTTTTTAGGATTTTGTGATTCTGTTAACCTCCCACTTGAAAGAGGTGAGGTCTGATTACTGACAGGTAGAAATAGCTACCAAACGCGTATTGTGAGATGTGCCCAGCTTCTGTAATGTTTTGGAATGTTCTGTAATTCTGTAAAATACTCAAGAGACATGACAATCAAATGCAATACATGATTCTCAATGCCTCACAGATCCAAAAATTCCATCAAAGGCAGTTTGGGACAGTTGAGGAAATTTGAAAATGGATTGATTGTATCTTAGGTCATATTGTATCAATATTAATTTTTTGGGGTGTGATGCTGGCACTGTGATTGTGTAATAGAATATCCTTAGGAGATGCCAGGCTGATGTGGCTCAGTGGTTAAGCGTTAACCCATGAACTAAGAGGTCACTGGTTCAGTTCCGGGTCAGGACACATGCCTGGGTTGCAGGCTCAGTCCCATTGCGGGGGGGAGGCGGGGGGTAGTACAGGAGGTAGCGAATTGATGATGTTTCTCTCTCATTGATGTTTCTCTCCATCCCTCTCTTTTCCTCTCTAAAAATCAATAAAGGGGGAAATTTTTTTTTTAAGAGAAGTTACTGGTTAGGGCAGTATGCTGATTTCTTAAGGTTGAATCTTGGATATTGATTTGACACTCTTCTCTCCGCATACAGCATCCATTGCTAGAAATTTCCCTCTAAGCACTGCCTTGGGTACATCCCACAAATTTTATGTTGCATTTTTATTTTTAGTTCAAAATAGTTGTGATTTCTTCTTTAGCGGTGCATTTTTTAGTAGCGTGTTGTTTAGTTTCCAAACATTTGGGGGATTTTCCGATGTCTTTTTATGATGGATTTCTCATTTCATTCTGTGGTAGTCAGAAAAGGAACTTTGCATAATTTGAATTCTTTCAAATGTACTAAGACCTATTTTATTGCCCAGAATGTGTTTTATCTTGGTAAATGTTCTGTGTGCACTTGAATATGTATTCTGCCCTGGCCGTGAAGCTCATTGGTTAGAGCATCATCCTGATCCGTCAAGACTGTGGGTTCAATCCCTGTCAGGGCACATACAAGAAAGCAACCAACGAATGTGAAAATAAGTGGAACAACAAACCAATATTTCTCTCTTTCTCCCCCCCCCCCATCACCTCTCTCTAAAATCAACAAATAAAGTAAAAAGTATAAGCCACTTTTATTTTTTTTACTTTTATTTTTTAAATGAGTTTTTATTGATTTCAGAGAGGAAGGGAGAGGGAGAGAGAGAGAGAAACATCAATGATGAGAGAGAACCATGGATCAGCTGCCTCCTGCACGCCCCACACAGGATGGAGCCTGCAACCCAGGCATGTGCCCTGACCGGGAATCGACCCCGGGCCCTTTCAGTCCGCAGGCCGACGCTCTATCCACTGAGCCAAACAGGCCAGGGCTTTGAGCCACTTTTAGAACTAAAGGTCAAACCCCTGTGACCCCAGAGGGGTCCCCACTTTTGCTGACTACCTGGTAAGCTCCTGGTAGGGTTGAGGCCTCTTCTCAAGGCTGACAGTCTGCACCCCTCGCCTGACTTGGGTGCTGATGTGGATCCAGAGCTTCTCGAGGAGTCTGGTGCCCCCCGGGAGCTTGGCCCCACACCAGACACTCCCCAGCAAATGCTTAAAGGTGGGAACCAGACTTCCCTCCTTGGTTTATTCTTCGCTCTTATGTTTAACGTAACTACATCCCAGCTGCGTACGGGAAAGCCAGGCGGCCATGGCACCAGCATCTTGAAAAAGAGCAGTTAGTCTGCTGCCTGAGGGCAGAGCTGTGGCGGCCTTGAGAGCTTATTGTCTGACCCGGTGGGTTGCGGGGGAGGGTGGGGAGCATGAGTGTGGAGGCTGTTAGGGGCCACAGCTGGAGGCTCAGGGCGGATGAGGAGCCCTGGGTGGTAGAAGCCTAGGATTTGAGGGCTCCAGTACTGGTGGAGTCATTAGGGGCATTTGTGACACTTGGAACCAGAGTGACCGGCTTTGGAGGAGGGATGGGCCAGGACTCAGGCCTGGGAGGGCAGGGAGCAGAGGTCAGCAGGAAGGAGGGAGGGGCAGGCAGGACATACATGGAATGGCTCTTTGGTCTCAGGCTCGGAACTTGCTGACAAGCACAGGGTCAGGGCCTTTGGCAGCGGTGAGATTTGCGCGGGGTTTCTGGGTTCTTTGTGTTATTCTTTCAAGTTCTCTAAGTTTGACATTCTTACCCAGAACTCCTCACAGCAGCTTTCTGTCCGTCGTGGCAGGCACAGGGGCTGCCCAGTTAGCCGGGCCTTTCGGGTCCAGAAAGCCGGGTCCAGATAGCGATTCCTGGCCCAGCTGTGGTGTGTACGTGGGGCTGTATGACAGATGGCGTCTAAGCACAACCTTCCAGGCTTGGGAGAAGGTCACCAGGGTTAACCGTTAATTCCCTTGGAAGCAGGAACCCAGTCGGAATCCCTCCCGCCCTGGGTGACTGAGAATGTGTGTCATCCCAGGAATCGGTGACTTTCAGGGATGTGGCCGTAGACTTCACCCAGGAGGAGTGGGGGCAGCTGGACTCTCCTCAGAGGGCCCTGTACCGGGACGTGATGCTGGAGAACTACCAGAACCTTCTCGCCCTGGGTAAGAGGCTCCCGAGGCTCGGAGTCTGTGGTGTGGGCACACACCTCAGGTACTACTGAGTCCCCTTCTGCACCAGCCTGGCGTGGGGGGTGGGCTCTGTGGTGCGACTGGCATCCGTGCCTTGGAGGTGTGGCTGGACACAGGCGAGCCAGAACGAGAGGGAGAGGGTGGATAGGGTTCTGGAAGCCCAACCTGCCCTGGACTTTCCAAGGGAGATTGGGGGGGTGGGGGAGAATACCCATGGGTTCCTCAGCATGCATGCCTCAATTTGGGTTCCCATTCTGCGACCCCCATCCTCGGGGACGGCACACAGCGCTCAGTGCCAGCTCCTGCTGTTCCGGGGGCTCTCCTGTCCTATCGCTGGTTCTGGAGAGAGAGCTGCAGCCCACAGCCATGCCGCTTCCCCCCCACAAGCAGGGCCTCCGGTCTGTAAGCCAGAAGTGATCTCCCATCTGGAACGAGGCGAAGAGCCATGGCAGGTGCCCAGAGAAGTCCCAGGAGGGGCTCGTCCAGGTGAGAGGGGGGTGCAATGGAAGGATGTGGAGCCCCCGCCCCCAGCACCCCTCCTACCCACCATGTGGCCCTCCCATCACAGCCCTTTTCCTTCCACAGTCCACTGCCCCAGCTCCACCTGCACCTGCTCAGTGCCCCTTCTAGAACCCTCCCTCTTCCCTCCCTTCCACACACACATTGAGCACTGGCTGTGTGCCAGACACGGTTCTGGGAATATAGCAAGAAAACGGGCAAAGACATCTGTCTTCTGTTGGCAGGAGACAGCAGTAATTTTTTTTAATATATTTTATTGATTTCTTACAGAGAGGAAGGGAGAGAGATAGAGAGTTAGAAACATCAATGAGAGAGAAACATCGATCAGCTGCCTCCTGCACATTCCCTACTGGGTATGTGCCCACAACCAAGGTACATGCCCTTGACCGGAATCAAACCCGGGACCCTTGAGTCCACAGGCTGACGCTCTATCCACTGAGCCAAACCGGTTAGGCCAGGGGTGGGCAAGCTTTTTGACTCGAGGGCCACAATGGGTTCTTAAACTGGACCGGAGGGCTGGAACAAAAGCATGGATGGAGTGTTTGTGTGAACTAATATAAATTCAAAGTAAACATCATTACATAAAAGGGTACGGTCTTTTTTTTTTTTTTTTTTTTATTTTTATTCATTTCAAACGGGCCGGATTCGGCCCGCAGGCCGTAGTTTGCCCACGGCTGGGTTAGGCAGTAATTTTTTTCTTTTTTTAAAAAATATATTTGTATTGATTTCAGAGAGGGAGTGGTGGGGGAGTTCTTTTTCCCCTCTGAAACAAGGGACATTTAAGTTTTTCTTTTTCTTTTTTTTAGGGTATGAAGTAAGTGAGTCTCTTTTTTTAATTTATTAACTTGAGAAACATCAATTTATTGTTCCACCAATTTTTATTGGTTTCAGAGAGGAAGGGAGAGGGAGAGATAGAAACATCAATGATGAGAGAGAATTATTGATCGGCTGCCTCCTGTACACCCCACACTGGGGATTGAGCCTGCAACCTGGGCATGTGCCCTGACCGGGAATTGAACCATGACCCCTGGTTCATAGGTCAACACTCAACCACTGAGCCACGCCAGCCAAGCTGTTGTTCCACTTATTGATGGATTCATTGGTTGTTTCTTGTAGGTGCCTGACCAGAATCGAACCCACAACCTTGGCATATTGGGACGAGACTCTAACCAACCGCCCAGGGCGGGACATTTTAAATTTATGGTTTTTGGACTTGTATTTATCCCAGCCAGCACTGACCTGGTTCTGACACACAACAGTCTCTCAGTAGATGCTTCAATAAGTGAATCGTAGCCCTAGCTGGTTGGCTCAGTGGGTGGAACATTAGCCTGTGGACTGAAGGGTCCTCGGTTCGATTCCAGTCAAGGGCACAAGCCCGGGTTGCGGGCTTGATCCCCAGTGAGGGGTGTGCAGGAGGCAGCCGAGCAATGATTTTCTCTCATCATTGATGTTTCTATCTTGCTCTCCCTCTCCCTTCCTCTCTGAAGTCAACAAAAAAATACATTTTTAAAAAAGTGAATCATATCCATGACCCTTGACCCCCTGGCTCTTTTTGGAATTTCCTTTGGGGGTCTCCTTTCCCTGTTTCTTCTCTGCCCTTCTTACCAGCTAGTTTGCCTGTCCCACCCTGCATGTGCCCCTCCCACCTGTGCTCTTGAGCGCCCTCTGTCGGTCTCTGCTCTTTTCTATGCTTCTCTGCGCCTCCAGGCCCCAGTGCCAGTGCCACTCCTCGCCTGCTTACAGAAAACTGCGTTTCCGCTTCTTGCAGAGCGGGAGCCCCGGCCTGAGGTGAAGGAGCAGTGTCAGCAGCAGGGTAGCCACAAGGAAGAGCCAGCACAGGAGTCGGTGGTGGAGGGGCCGCTGAGGTCCTGTCTCCACAGCCTCGGCCCAGGCGATGGGTGGGCCTGGGAGGGCCCCGCGGCTGCTCTGTCGAGAGGTGAGGCTGTGCTCTGGAGGTGCGGGCCCCCCGGCTGTGGGGAGAGTTCCACAGAGGAGCAGCGGCAGGGACACGGGGCGTCTGCGGGGGCTTTGCCCCTCGGGTGCCCCCTCTCCACCCAGCAGAGCACAGGGACTCTCATTCCTGCAGAGCGAGGGTCTCCTCACAGACGCACCGAGAATCGCCAGTCCCGGGAGGCTGTCTCCCAGCACCCGAGGCTGTCACCCGGCACGGGGAGAAACGGCTGCCAGGCCAGTGAACACAGGAAGCCCCCCGCCCACAGGCCTCCGAGCGCGGGGGCCGGGGAGGGTCTCTTCGCGTGTGGCCAGTGCGGGAAGGCCTTCCACCAGAGCTCGTCCCTCAGCCTGCACCAGCGCTGGCACGCCCGGGAGAAGGCCTACAGGTGTAGCGAGTGCGGCAAGGCCTTCACCTGGAGGACCAACCTCCTGGAGCACCAGAGGATCCACACCGGGGAGAAGCCCTTCCTGTGCGGCGAGTGCGGGAAGGCCTTCAGCTGCCACTCGTCGCTGAACGTGCACCACCGGACGCACACCGGCGAGCGGCCCTACAAGTGCACGGGCTGCGAGAAGGCCTTCAGCTGCAGCTCGCTGCTCAGCATGCACCGCAGGGTGCACACCGGGGAGAAGCCCTACAAGTGCGGCGAGTGCGGGAAGGCCTTCAACCAGAGGACGCACCTGACCCGGCACCACCGGATCCACACGGGGGAGAAGCCGTACAAGTGCGGCGAGTGCGGGAAGGCCTTCACGTGCCACTCATCCCTGACCGTGCACGAGAAAATCCACAACGGCGACAAGCCCTTCAAATGCAGCGACTGCGCGAAGGCCTTCAACAACCGCTCGCGCCTCACCCTCCACCAGAGGATCCACACGGGCGAGAAGCCCTTCAAGTGCGGGGACTGCGGAAAGGGCTTCATCTGCCACTCCTACCTGGTCGTGCACCAGCGGATCCACAGCGGGGAGAAGCCCTTCAAGTGCAACGAGTGTGGCAAAGCCTTCAGCTCCCACTCCTACCTCATCGTGCACCAGCGGGTCCACACGGGCGAGAAGCCGTTCGACTGCAGTCGGTGCTGGAAGGCCTTCAGCTGCCAGTCGTCCCTCATCGTGCACCAGCGGATCCACACGGGCGAGAAGCCCTATAAGTGCGGCCAGTGCGGCCGGGCCTTCAGCCAGAATCACTGTCTCATTAAACATCAGAAAACCCACTCTGGGGAGAAGCCGTTTAAATGTAACGAATGTGGCGAAGCGTTCAGCTGGAGCACCCACCTTGCTGAGCACCAGAGGACACACCGCGAAGACAAGCCCTTTGCCATCCAGCTCAACAAGCATCTGCTGAGCACGTACTGTGTTCCCAGCGGCCTGCTGGGTGCCGGCGGCGTGGGTGTGAGTGGCTTGGACCCCGTAAACTCACTGGACGTGGCAGAGCTCCTGTGTGTGGTTCAGCCCTCCGCCAGCAGGAACTTGCCCCTGGGCAGCAAACCTGGGAAGTAACATGGTGTGCTTGTCACCTGGCCGCTTCCCCGGGGAACGGGGAGCACGGGGACTCCTGTATGTGCCGCAGCAGACCCCTCCCAGGAGCGGCCTCCCTCCCGGAGAAGGGATGCCCTGTGGGAGTGGGGTCGATGTCCCGGGGTCCTGCTTCCTCTGATGGGTTTGGGAGTCACTGACCGGGGATTAGATCTTTCCTGCAGATAAAAGGTCTGTCAATCATGTCCTCAGGCTCCTGGCATGACTTAGATCAAGAATTTCATCTGTGGACTGTTATATTCAGAATAATAGGAAGAATTTTTTAAGCCAGAATTATGAACAGTAGTGCCTCCAAGCAAACATTATTGTATTGCTGGCGAGGAGGATACTCTTAGAGGCGGGAGTCTGGGGAAAAGCGGGTTTCCTGGACTCACCTCACAAGTGGCTCCACCGCAGAGTCCTTCGTTAGAGGCCGCACCCACGTCCCCGAAGCACAGTCAGCATCAGACGTGCCGGACCTGCAGCTGGGCACCGGGTCCACGGTGGCAGGCGGAGCCCAGTGGTCCGGGGAGGATGGGTGCAGTGTCCTGATAGATGTGCCTAGAAGCGCACCTTCCCCCCAGGCTGGGGCTGCCTGCGGGGCCTCCCCTCACACCACGAGGCTCAGCTCATCAGTGCCACCCCGAGGGAGAAGCCCCTCCCCGGAGACCATCCCCACGTTCCCTGCAGGGACAGGAGGACGGGGTTCATCTGGAATTAACGTTCTTTCTACTCAGTTCTCAGCAAGTACAAGAGGCCTTCTCTGTGACAATACTTGACATTTGTATAGAGCACTCTAGTTTATGAAATGCTTTTTCTAACTTATGGAGGCAAGATAACCACATTTCAGAGAATGTGGAATAAATGAGAGAAAACACCCATAATTCTTAATAAAGCTGCATTTCGCACTTTGATACATTATTTCTGTTTTCATCACTTTAAACCTAGTAGATACGTCATTTTAATCCCCCCTGCCCACCCCCGTTTAGCTGCATAGAATTTTTTTTCCAAGTGACTGCACTGTCTGTGGAGTCATAATTCTAAGTGGAAGCATAGTATTCTATTAGTATACTATGTTGGCTGTTGAGGTTATTTCTATTTTTTCACTATTATAAATCATTCTTCATGGAGCATTTTTGGGTTATACTTTAGCATTTTCCTAGAGTAGATTTCTGGAAGTGAAATTTTTGACATAAAGGAAATGAGTAGCTTAAGGAATCATCTCAGGATGTTTTTGGTTGTGTGTCTGCGAAGTAATGTTTCCTTACCAAGGAACCAATCAGCAGCGCCCGCCAGGTAGGAACGTCCTTGCACGTCATCTGGACACAGGCACTGTTCAGAGTGGACGTCAGACGGTCTTTGTTCAGGGCACGGTGACAACACGGCGATGAGCCTGGGTACCTGTGTGCCATCGCCTGCCTCCGAGTGTCTGTGAGCTGGCCTGGCGTCGTGCGGTCCCCGGGGACACCTGGCAGTCACGGGCCCTTCTCCGTGACAAATAGGAAAAGTTCTACATCACATCTGCATCGGGAAAACACAAATAACAGTCTAGGCTTGATTCATGATTATCATCCTAATTTTTCTCTTTCTTTTTATTTTTTTATTTTTTATTTTTTATTATTTTTGCTGCCTCCTGCACATCTCCTACTGGGGATATGCCCGCAACCAAGTTACATGCCCTTGACCGGAATCGAACCTGGGACCTTTCAGTCCGCAGGCCGACGCTCTATCCACTGAGCCAAACCGGTTTCGGCTTTTCTCTTTCTTTTTAAAAGAAACAAAACCTTCTTCATGGGCCCTGGGCCCTGTGTCTACTGTGTGCCCTGAAGTGCCAGTTGTTTAGTATATGGGCACCATAGCAAGCGCACGATCGCCTCACTTGTCGTATTTGGCATTTTGATACATTACAATGTTATTCATTTTTTTCTACCTTCTCCCCCTTTCATATGAATTGTTTATTCCTATCTTTTGTCCACTATTTCATTCTTTGTTTTTTTAATATATATATACATATTAATATATACACACTCGTATATATCACCTTAGCACATACATTTTCTATCTTTGTTACTGCATTTTTTTATGTACAGAGGTTTTTAAATTCTGTATAATAAGGTCTATTAGATTTTTTTCCTTTCTGTTTCTCTTTGGCTCTTAGAAAGCCTCTTAAGTCTATTTTTGGTTCAATATTTTATATTTATCTTTTAACCCTCTATCTATTTGGGATATAAAATTTAAGGTCCCTGCATCGTTGTTGAATTGCATTCCTCACCGTTCACAGGCCTGTCTTTCCTTTGATTGTAGCTCCATACTTCACTTGAACATCCACATCTTCAGCAGCTTTTAAAAGATCTTGTTTTATCTGTTCCTCCAGGTGACCCAGGTATCATTTCCTCAGAACTTAACTTCTTCACTCCCCTGCATATGTCATTGGGATTTTGATTAGAATTGACTAGTTTGTGAAAAATGAAGTTCCATGTAATACGGTCTTCACATAAAAGAATGTGGTAGATAACGTCATTCAAATCTACCTCTAACCATCAGAGAAATTTTAGTTTTCTACATAAGTGTTCTCACATTTATTCTTAAGTTCATTCTGATTTTGAGGGGTTTGTAAATTAGGAATTTTTGTTTTAAGATATATAGGACCAGTGTTGATTATATATATCTTCTTGTGTATTTATTTTATACCTAACAACTTTATGGAGTTACTCTAAGGCAGCGGTTCTCAACCTGTGGGTCGCGACCCCTTTGGCGGTCGAACGACCCTTTCACAGGGGTCGCCTAAGACCATCCTGCATATCAGATATTTACATTACAATTCATAACAGTAGCAACATTACAGTTATGAAGTAGCAATGAAAATAATTTTATGGTTGGGTCACAACATGAGGAACTCTATTTAAAGGGCCAGAAGGTTGAGAACCACTGCTCTAAGGTCTCTAACAGCTTCTCAGTTTATTGGGTTTTCTAGGTAAACAGTCGTATCAGTTGGAAATAAAAAGCTTGCCTCTCCTTTCCATATAGGGAGCCTGTTACTTCATTTTTTCTTAAAACCCACATTGGGCTAGGGCCGGGTGGCTCAGTTGGTTAAAGCATCATCCCAATACACCAAGGTTGTAGGTTCCATCCCTGGTCAGAGCACATACAAGAATCGAACAATAAATGCATAAAAAAGTGGAACAACAAATGCTGTTTCTCTATCAAATCAATTAAAAAAAAACCTGCCCTAACCGGTTTGGCTCAGTGGATAGAGCGTCAGCCTGCGGACTGAAAGGTCCCAGGTTCGATTCCAGTCAAGGGCATGTACCTTGGTTGCGGGCACATCCCCAGTAGGGGGTGTGCAGGAGGCAGCTGATCGATGTTTCTCTCTCATCGATGTTTCTAACTATCCCTCTCCCCTCCTCTCTGTAAAAAATCAATAAAATATATATTTTTAAAAACTTTAAGAAAAAACACACGCACATTGGCCAGCACTTCCAGAGCATCACTGTATTAGGGACAGTGGTCATCTGAGGTAGATGTGCGTCCATCAGAACATTTGGCCTCTAAGACGCAGTTGTAGCTGGGGTGGTCGCACGGCCCCGTTCTGTCCCATGAGGCTCCAGTGGAGGTCGGCCAGAGATGAAGAAAAAGCCTCTGCTTTCCTGATAGAAATATTATTCCTTCCTCCTTCCTGCCTGAACTTGGATGCAGCGCCCAGAGGTGTGGTAGTCATTTTGCAACCATGGGATGATTGACAGAAGCCACACCTGGTGAAATGGAAAACTAGCAGGATCCTAGGCCTTGGATGGAATTTTTGAGCAACTGTTTCAGCACCGACATTCAGCTCCCTGAGCTCTTGCCGCCTAAGAAAAAGAAACGGCCTCAGTCCGCACAGCTGCTGCCCTCCTCACTGGCACAGCACCCGGTGTTCATTCTGACCTGAGGGAAACAGAGCTAGTATTTCACTATTCGGAGAATGCCAGCCCCTGGCCCTGTTTACATTAGTGAATTACCTTTATAGGCCCCGTTTGCTAAAATAATTTTAAAAATACATATATATTTCCAGCCCTGACCAGTTTGGCTCAGTGGATAGAGCATCGGCCTG